ACACAGTGCGCTGTGTCCAATCCGACTCTGAGCGCTCCTCCCCACACGTCCCACAGGCCCGTGTCCCGTCCAAGCCCACGGCTAAATGCACCAGAAAGAGGCCGGAAGGTCGACCTCTTTTTCCAAAGAAACGCTGAGCGGGGAGGGGCCCCTGGGCAGAGGAAGGGGGGCCGGTTCCCCTTTTACACCTTAGGGGGGCAAACGGAACCCCAGGGAAGGGGAAATGAGAGCTGAACAAATACGAAATGGATGTTGAGTTGAACAAGGACGGGGAGAGGGAGGGACAGCGTGGGGACCAGGGACAGGGGAGGAGGGGAGGCGTGGGACCCGTCACAGTCAGGGCCGTGCCTCTGGGGGCTTTGGCAGGCACCCAGGGGGCGGCGTCCACTGAAGGACAAGTGACTCGGACAAACACAAGCGCCTGCTGGCCTCAGAAGCAGCGGCGAGAGAAGGGACACAGTTGGCTGATTTTAGAAGCTCTGCACAAAACGCCTGCCTCCCGGGAGGATGGACTCGCCTTCAGAGGCTAGAATGGGGGCCAATATGTCCCCATTCCCACCTTCCACACTTGTCCCTATCAGATGCAAATGGCACACAGTAGGGCCAGCAGCCACTGCTGACAGGCATTTATTTACTATTGGACAAACCCCCACACTCACACAGGATCTTTTTTCTTGTTTTTAATCCTCATCCAAGGATATTTTTTTCCATTGATTTTTAGAGGGAGTGAGAGGAGCGAGGAGAGAAGGTGAGAGAGAGAAACATCAATGTGAGAGAGACACATTGATTGGCTGCCTCCCACGTGGCCCGACTGGGGCCGGGGATCGAACCTGCAACCGAGGTCCATGCCCTTGACCGGGAATGGAACCCATGACCCCTTGGTCTGTGGGCTGATGCTCTAACCACTGACCAAACTGGCCAGGGCTCAGGCAGGCTCTCTAAGAGCACGTCTCCTGCCAGGCAAGCAGGAGAGCCCGGTGTTGTAAGTGAAGTCGGGGAAGCCACGTGCGTGACAAACAAGAAAACGCTAGAGTCCGCGGGAAACGCAGGTCTGTCTGTCCCGAAGCTGCCTGGTTTCCCACCACATTCCATCACCTCCAAAAACTCGGGGAGACCCAGGTGGAGCACCCACCTCCCTCCTAAGGCAGAGCGGACCTACTGTCCCTGAATAAGGCCTTCACTTACAGAAGGAGAGGCGGCGGGGGAGCCGGTCCTCCCCAGAGGCCGGCCTGAGCCCGGTGCTAACCCAGGCAGGCGACGGGCACCATGGCGACAAGACAGGCTCCGAGACGCAGTTGCTGCCGTGGCAAAGCCAGGGCGGGGCTCTCCGTCTGCGTTTCCACGTTGTCGCTTCCGTGAGGATGACAAAGGCTTGACAACATAATTATAACTGTCAATCTCCCTAAAATAAATTAAGCTTGGAAGCACTCGGGAGTTAACGAGACACACGAGCTGACTGTGTCTCGTGAACTCCCTCCCAACGTCTGTGTTCCACGCCGGAGGCTGTGGAAAACGAGGTACATCTGGTATACCAGCTATTTGTGTCTCTGGGATTCAGGAATTTTTTTTCCCAAAAAGGAGGGGTTTCGGGGACAGTTCCTAGTGAGTCCCCAGCCCCAGTCCCAAGTCCCCAAGCCAGGAGGGGGAATTAGGTTACAGCCCTCCCAACCAACCAAGACACCCTCCAGGCAGGAAACTTAACTACATCCAGGGTTCCTGTGCCTCAAGCCCACATCAAGCCCACAATGGGTCCGTCCCAGACCTGAGGTATAGGACTCTCTCTCTCTCTCTGCTCTGGCCCGAGGCCATTCTCTCCTCCCGAGGGTGGAAGTCCGCAGCTGTGCGCCCTGCAATGGTCTCTCTGCCTATATCCACTGCCTCCCTGTCTTCCCGGGGCCCTGGACTCCTTAACCCCACCTGGTGAAGGTCACACTTCTAATCACCCAACACAATGGCCTTGCCTGGGCTCCCGCGGGGCCCTGGGCCACGTGAGTGCAAACAACCCCCACATTTAGACGTCTGCTCCTGGCGCTCTGGACTCCCCTTTGTGGATGCATCTCTCCCCACCAAGGGCAAACAACCGAACACGTCAACACACATCCCATCTGAAGCGGAATCCTGACTTGTTAAAATGAAGGCCATCGGTGTCTCCACGTCACAATGTCGCTCATCTGTCTCAATCCCAGCACCCGCCTCCAGCTTCGACGGAGCTCTGCTCAACCTTTTTATTAATCAGTTAGATCAATGGCGTGATAATCAAATCTGCAGATGGCACAAACCCATCAAGGACACCAAATTTAAAAAAGGGGGTGGGTTCAGACACACTTGTAAGGGTAAAGGTGCACTGAACATTCAACGTGAGAGCAGGGAGTGATGCTGGGTTCTGTGTAACAGACTGTCCCACCGACTGCACTTTATTAAAACGTCTCGGTCGTGCTGCTAAGTTTTGACAGAGCCAGGACTGACACCGGGGTCTGCGAACAGGGAGCTCATCACTGACCCAGTCAGCCATGGGCAGCAGGAAGAGCATCACCTTTACAGCTGTGCAATTCAACCTCATGCTGCGCCTTCTTACTCACTAAATGGGCCGGACTTCTCACCTTTAAAGTGAGCACAATAAAATTTTATATTACAAAAAATAAAAACAGTATTCAGACAGATGTTGACAGGCGTAAGAAAATGAGATGAAAGAAGTAATGTGAAATGTAATTAAACATCATTAGCCCAGTTGGCGTGGCTCAGTGGTTGAGCATCGACCTATGAACCAGGAGGTCAAGGGTTTGATTCCCGGTCAGGGCACATGCCCAGGTTGTAGGCTTGATCTCCAGTGTGGGGCGTGCAGGAGGCAGCCGATCAATGATACTGTCTCATCATTATGTTTCTATCTCTCTCTCTCTCCCTCTCCCTTCCTCTCTGAAATCAATAAAAAATATTTAAAAAAAGAGAGCAAAACCTTTGACCCTCTAATGCTTAGATGGTGGAGAATAAATGCCATCCTATTAGGAGGCAACAGATACAGAGCAGGGAGGGAACTGGCAGAGTGAGGGGGCTGGGAAGGGAAAGGGGTGGCATCTTATATACGATGGCCAAGACAGGCTCACTGAGAGGGTGACATTTGAGTGAGAAAAGATGACCCGGAAAATGACCAGCCACCCCTGGCGAGAGAAACCGTGGCCTCATCCAGGAATGTCTAGGGCAGCCGTGGGCAACTACAGCCCTCGGGCCGGATCCGCCCGTTTGAAATGAATAAAACTAAAAAAAAAAAAAAAAAAAAAAGACCGTACCCTTTTATGTAATGATGTTTACTTTGAATTTATATTAGTTCACACAAACACTCCATCCATGCTTTTGTTCCGGCCCTCCGGTCCAGTTTAAGAACCCATTGTGGCCCTCGAGTCAAAAAGTCTGCCCACCCCTGGTCTAGGGTCACTGAAGCCCAAAGGAAGCAGAGCCTGTCAGGGGTCCAAGTCTGGGCACGAGCCTGGCCCTCCCGGCCCCCAGGAGCCAGGGTTCCCCTGGGCACGGCGGAGTCCCGCCCACCTGCTCATGCATCACTGTCACCTCTCCTGCAGGCACCCAGCCTCCCGGGAGCTTCCAGAGAAAACCTCCCTCCACCCTTCTTTTTCATTCAAATTGCATGTTGCTCAGATTCTAAAAACTCTACCGAGTGGGAGGCCTGAAGAAGATTATTTCAGAAAATTGGCACCCAGGGCTGCCACATTCACTGGGTCCCAGGGCATGAAAAACATGTGGCACGAGACAAAAATCCCACAGGAACTCTGACACATAACTGGGTTCCGATCCAAAACTCCTGGGCATGAGCATACACAGGGCTTTATAAAAACACGCACAATCTCCTTCCCGACTCCAGGTCTAGAAGACAGTGCCCACTGTCCACCCGCCTAAGAGCAGACCCCCTTGTTCTAGCCCAAGACGGGCTGTTCTCCTGCCAGAACAACGTGGAGACACATGGCGGCCTCGCGTACAGGGTCCTAGTTCCAGGGAGAATCAAGAAGATGCCGAGCCCGGGCCTTGACTGAAATAACCTGGTGGGGGGCACCCCGGGAACGACCGGCGAACCCCAGCCCTGCACTGGGGGGGTTTACACCGAATGGCAGAGCCCCCATTTCTGGGCTCACTTCAGTAAGGGTGGAGCCCTTAGAACAAAAATGACTACGTGGCCCGGCCCGCGTGGCTCCGTGGTTGAGCATCGACCTATGAACCAGGAGGTCACGGGTTCGATTCCCAGTCAGGGCACATGCCCAGGTGGTGGGTTCGATTCCCACTAGGAGGCGTGCAGGAGGCAGCTGATCCATGATTTTCTCATCATGGATGTTTCTCTCTCCCTCCCTCTCCCTTCCGCTCTGAAATCAGTAACAACATCTATATGTACAAAAACGAAAAGGTCACTTCGGATGGGTCCTGAGAAGCCACCTGGGGAGGAGGGTGCGGTCAGGGCTGCTCCTTAAAGCCCTGTCTGGGTTTCCGGGTGAGCCTGCCGCCAGGTGGACAGCTCTGGAGAGGCCGGGGGTGCCCCCTGGCTCACTGCCCCATGTCACTCCCCCGGTGTCAGGAGTTGGGTGCTAAATGGTACGGCTCCCTGAGGACCTGTGCCCGAGTCCTGAGGCCCAGCCGCTGGTTCCCGTGTGCGATGGGATGACCACTGCCCGGGTCACCGTCAGCCTGGACACCCTGTGCGTAAACTCTCCGCATGAACGTGCCTGTACCCAGGCCTCGGCCGAACAGGTGGGCCCCTTGGCCTGGGCGTATCTCCACCCCAGGGACCGG